TGAAGTTTATCCGCTGTTTGCTGTGGAAATACAAGTTTCAGATTGCTATTAAAGCAATTGTATTATCAAGTAAAATAATGGAAATTAAAGTGTGTCTTTTTTCATAATTAATAATTAAAACTTAAATTTAAAAACATATTAGGAAGAGTCTTTTAACAATGTATGGAAAACCCTAAATATCAAGGGAACGTTTTAAAAGAATTCATGGCAACCATTGATATACATAAACAAGTTTTGAAGCACTATGCAAAGATACATTCTACCAGCTTCCCTGAAATTTAAATGTATAGGGTTTAAATTTAAGAGCCACGTCTTAGGATTTCATCTGGAAATTAATTTTCAGCCAGCATAATGTTTAACTCAGATACTATACTTCCTTTTTCCATTTATTTATTTTAATACTTCTAACCCAGTGAATGGCTTGTACTTGACAGATATAATAAATAATAATAAAATAATAAAAATAAAGTAAAAATAATAAATATATAAAAATAATAAAAAATAATAAAACAAATGAATAATAAAAAATTCAGTTTTATAATAACAAACTAAAATATACCCTGTAGCTGTGTATAAACCAAATAACAATCACAACAAAATGAAGTCTGGAGAATCTGCAGCAGAGAAAAGAAATTAGAAAGTCTTCTTAAGTATGTTTTGGAATAAGTATGACTGAAAACTACATGGCAATCAGATCATGAGAAATCCATTTCAGTTGGACATGTATCCTCTCAAGTTCCAAATAGTCACTTATCCCAGCAGCCCCCAACATTTCCAGCTTTGTAGTCTGGTGTGTGTGGGGGGAGCCAATGGTTCCTTATGAGCAGCGGGCAAGCATGCTCACATGCACAATTCCATCTGTGAGAGTGGTGCTCACCCACTGCTTCTGTGGCCCAGTTTTGAATGGGTTGCAGCCTGATAATGAGCTGCAGCTCAGGAATTGAGGATCCCTGACCTATCATCAAGGTTACTGGATTGTCCCAAGCTTATTAATCAGATATATTAAAAAGTATCTTTGGAAAAGCTGTAATGTTAGGAAGTGTGGAAGAAAAGAGAAGAATAGAATAACCAGGAGCAAGACAGACTCAGCTACAGTAGTGATGAGTGCACCATTGGGAGACCTGAAAGAAGAGATTAGTGGAATATTGCCTTAAAAAAATCTCTGTCTATGTGGTTACTAGGAGTTGAAGATGGTTTGATGGCATATAAACAATCAATCAGTATTGAAAAAGGAAAGGGGGTTAATTTTCAAAATCTTGGCAATTTGATATATAAGTAGTCCTCAGCTTACAACAGTTCATTTGTGACCGCTGGAAGTCACAAAGATACTAAAAAAAAATAACTTATGATCATTTTTCATACTTACGACCATTGCAACTTCCCAATGTCACATGTTCAAAATTCAGACACTTGACAGCTGACTCATATTTATGATGGTTGCAATGTCCTGGGGTCATTTGATCACCTTTTGTGACCTTCTGACAAGCAAAGTCAATGGGGAAGCCAGATTCACTTAACAACTATGCAACTAACTTAACAACTGCAGTGATTCACTTAACAATTGTGAGAAGAAAGGTGATAAAATGGAGCAATTCACTTAACAACTGTCTCTCTTAGCAACTGAAATTTTGGGCTCACTTGTGATTGTAAGTTGAGGGCTATCTATATTTCTTTTAGCACCCTATTTATCTCTTAGGATTAAGATACATTTATAAACTAGCTCTCTGCCTGCTTGCAGAGTGGAGAGGTGACAGAGTGGAAAGAGGGGCACATAACTAAGTCAGAATATCAGCAAATAGCCCAAGCCTGCAAAGATGAAATGAGGAAAGCCAAGGCTCAAAATGAACTAAGGCTTGGGACCAAAGTCAAAAATAAAAAAAAAGCTTCTTTCAACATGTAAAAAACAAGAAAAAAGTGAAGGAAATGATTGGTCCATTAGTGGGTGAAAGTGGCATTAAGGTGACAAGCAACAGAGAGAAAGCAGAACTATTTAACTCGTTTTTTGCATCTGTCTTTACACAAAGGGAAAAAACAGACCAACCTATCAAAAATAGTGCCATAAAAACCAGAATAGAAACACAAGATAGGCAAGAAAATGGAAAGTGAGCACCTGTAAATGTTCCAACACTGGAAGTTTTTAAGAAGAGACTGGACAGCCATTTGTCAAAAATGGTATAAGGTTTCCTGCCTGAGCAGGGGATTGGACTAGATGACCTCCAAGGTTACTTCCAACTTTACTATTATTATTATTATTATGGATCATCGCACAGTCAGCCAGATGTTCAGACTGGATTTGGCATTTTGTCTACCTATCGAGTCCTTACCCAGGACCTGGGATAGGAAGATGTGGATGTTTGATGGTATTACAGATATCGTCGCAGGATGGAAGCAGTTCCTAGTAAGGCCGCCTTTTGCAATTGACTAATAGCAAATTTGTCAATGCCAATGGTGTTCAAGTGGTGCTCCAGTTGTTTTGGGATTGCACCCAAGGCGCCTATGACTATTGGTACTACCCTTGCTTGCTTTTGCCACAGTCTTTCTATTTCTATTTGTAGGTCTTTGTATTTTGTTATCTTCTCCAGTTCTTTCTCGTCTATTCTGCTGTCTCCAGGCACTGCCACGTCCACTATCCAGACTTTTTTGTCTTTCTTATCGACAATTGTTAAGTCTGGGGTGTTATGTTGCAGGTGCTTGTCTGTTTGAATTCTGAAGTCCCAGAGCAGTTTAATTTTATCATTTTCTATGACTTTCTCTATTTTATGATCCCATCAGTTTTTGCTTACAGGCAAATGATATTTTTTGCAGATCTTCCAATGCACCATTGTTGCTACTTTGTCGTGCCACTGCTTGTAGTCAGTCTGTGCAATCTTCTTGCAACAGCTTACCAGGTGGTCCACTGTTTCTTCAGCTTCTTTGCATAGGCGGCACTTACTCTCTGTTGCTGTCTTCTAAATTTTGACTTTATATGCATTTGTCCTTAAGGCTTGGTCTTGTGCAGCTAGAATTAGTCCCTCGATCTCTTTCTTCAATTTTCCTGCTCTTAGCCATTGCCAGGTCTTGTTAATATAGTACAGCATAGATGGCACCATGCTCAATAGTAGTAACTGTGAGAGGGACCTCGGAGTCCTAGTAGACAATCACCTAAAAATGAGCCAGCAGTGTGCTGCAGCTGCCAAAAAGGCCAACACAGTGCTAGGCTGCATTAACAGAGGGATAGAATCAAGATCACGTGAAGTATTAATACCACTCTTCAATGCCTTGGTAAGGCCACACTTGGAATACTGCATCCAGTTTTGGTCACCACGATGTAACAAAGATGTTGAGACTCTAGAAAGAGTACAGAGAAGAGCAACAAAGATGATTAGGGGACTGGAGGCTAAAACATATAAGGAACGGTTGCTAGAATTGGGTATGTCTAGTTTAACGAAGTTAAGGACAAGGGGGGACACGAAGGCAGGACAAGAAGCAACGGGTGGAAACTAATCAAGGAGAGAAGCAACCTAGAACTAAGGAGAAACTTCCTGACAGTGAGAACAATTAATCAGTGGAACAGCCTGCCTCCAGAAGCAGTAAATGCTCCAACACTGGAAGTTTTTAAGAAGAGACTGGACAGCCATTTGTCCGAAATGGTGTAGGGTTTCCTGCCTGAGCAGGGGGTTGGACTAGATGACCTCCAAGGTCCCTTCCAACTTTACTACTATTACTATTACTAATATCTGCTTTCCCAGCTATTTTTTTTAATGTATTGGCCATGTAGTGCTTTGTCTTCCCATGCCTCTATTCTGTTCTTCATTTGGTCTTTCTTGTAGGCCAGTTTGGTCTCTCCAGTAGTCAGTAAGCCTTCCTGATATACTAATTTCAGTGCATCTTCATCATTGTTCTTCAGATATTCTTCCAAAGCCATTTTTTCTTCTTCAACCATCTGATGTACTTGTAGCATTCCACGCTCACCTATTTGCCTTGGTAGATAAAGTCTGTCAATGTCACTGCGTGGATGAAGGGCATGATTCATTGTCATTATTTTTCTGGTCTGCCTATCCATTGCTTTTAGTTCTGCTTGAGTCCAGTCCACTATTCCAGCTGTGTACCTAATAACTGGAATTGCCCAGGTGTTGATTGCCTTTATAGTATTTCCTCCATTGAGTTTGGACTTTAAGATCTTCTTCACTCTCTTGATGTATTCACCTCTAATCTTTTTCTATTATTATTATTATTATTATTATTATTATTATTATTATTATTATTATTATTATTATTATTATTATTACTATTATCGATCATCGCACAGTTAGCCAGATGTTCAGACTGGATTTGGCATTTTGTCTACCTATCGAGTCCTTACCCAGGACCTGGGATAGGCAGATGTGGATGTTTGATGGTATTACAGATATCTTATTATTATTATTATTATTTTCCTGATTAAGAAGTTATATGCAAATATTTTGAACCTTCACAGAGTTCAATCATTTGTTATAATAGATATGTTAGTTGTAAGTCCCAAAAGGGTCTATTTGTTTCTTTTTTCTGTACTTTCACTCATTTTGAATATTATGCAAACTTCCCTTGTCAAACCTTTATACCTTCTTTGACATATCTTTTGAATTTTTTTAAGTTTTCCATTTTTGCTAAATATAGTTATAAAACTGGTGATAGAAGGGTATGAGTGTCAATTATAGAGATATGATACATTTTTTCCCTTTTTTATGTCATAGATCAACATCATTACACTGTAGTTTCTCCTCTTTATAATTTCCAACTCAAGCATAATTACTGCTACCACTTCCTAGAGAATTTAAAAATATATAGCAAAACATTGAACCAAGACTAATGCCAGTTATTAATAGACATTTTGAACTAGGAGAAAGGCAAACAATATTTTCTCTGCAGGATTATATTAATTATTAAGGCAAGGCAGCCAATAAGTATTTACTCAAATCAACATGTCCGATTCAAACAAATATGTATATGTGACATAAATCCTGAAGAAAGGTCCATTGAAGATGGTGATGTTTATGGCATCAGTGCTAGTGATACTGGTGTTTGAAGCCGCCTATAACAGTCATCCTGTGAAATGCCCTATAAGTCTCCCTCTTGCTTTTCTTCACAAAGATTACCATCCTGGTGACTTTATCATTGGTGCTATTCTCTCTCAGATCTATGTATTTCCCCCTTCAGCAACCTTTGAAAGAAATCCCTCTTCTGATGTGTTTGACAATGTCATGTAAGCCCTTTCATGTTTTTTCTTGATTTCTAACAATATTACATCTCTTGGCAATGCCCCAGATTAATTTTCAAATGCTGTTAGTGTCTATGAATTAATGATGGACATACCGGTAAGTGCATCATTGCCTGTCATTTTATGCTTTATTCCATTGAATCCAGTGTTTGCCTTACTCACTAAACCATACTGAGACTTAGGAGACTTGTATATTGAAAAAAATACTAGTATAGGGAGCAATAACATATCAAAATCCTGAGGGCTTCCTTGTTTTCTTTTCTTTTTCTTTTCCCTTTTTATTGGTAGGCAAACCTTTAGCCTGGTGGTGTAGGGTGCTGATCACTCCCATTTTGTGCTCCAGTGGGTGATGAAAATAAAAATGTAAATACTGATATCTCTGTGTGTTTTCTGTTATCTTCAGTGTTAAGGCTTCTATCTTCCTTTATGTGTACTGTACAGTCCAGGAAAGCCAGACTCTTTTCCTTAGCATCTTCCTATGTGAACTTAATGTATCTGTCCACACAGTTGATGTATTTGGTGAAGGCTTCCACTTCCTGTGTTTTAATCTTGAGCCAAGTATCATCCATATATCTATACTAGTATGTGGAATTCCTGTGAAGGAGTTTAGGGCTTTGGTTTCCACTTCTTTGTAGAGATTGGCCACAGTGGAGGACATAGGTGAACCCATGGTACAGCCGTGTTTTTGCCTGTAGAAACCTTCATTGTATGTTAAATAGGTAGTGTCTCAAAGGTGCTTTTTCAAAAAGTAACTGGACTTTGTTTTTCCTTGAGGAAGACATTTCACCTCTCATCCAAGAAGCTTTATAACACTGTCCTTGAATTGAACTGTATTGAAATATAGAGTATGGGGATCAATTATGTATCAAAATCTCCTTCTTTTGATGCATGATAGTGGCTTTGACATTCATCACCCACCTAATCGTAACCTCACCCACAAGTGGATAGCAAAATACCAATCACTTAATGTCTTGCTATTAAAATATAAGTAAGGTGGATTAGCACTTCCAAGGATTAAATTATATCATGCTGCTATGCTCTTATTACAGATTTTAGACAGAATGGTTTTCCTTTATACCTTAGTAGCATTTATGAAAGGGGCAAAATTTCCAAATGCTTTGATTAATACTGTGTGTGTGTGTGTGTGTGTGTGTGTGTGTGTGTGTGTGCTATTAATAAAACAACTTTCTCATTGCAGAATAATAACTCAGAGCTACCAGCATATTCTAGCCTTACAATTTGCTATAGAGACAATTAATAAAAGTCCAAGGATTTTATGCAATGTCACACTGGGATTCCATGTGCTAAACAGCAATTTCCATCCCACCTGGACTTTCCGTGTGTCACTGGAACTTCTTTCCACACAGGGCAAGTTTATCCCTAACTACAAGTGTGATATGCAGGCTAATTTGGCATCGGTGATTGGAGGTCCTGATGCTGGTGTGTGTCACTACATGGCAATCATTTTGTACAATTACAAGATTCCGCAGGTGAGTTGTCCTCATGTAATATAGTAAAGCAAGCAATATTTTTGAAATATGACCTTGATATCTTTAAGGAAGTAGGATGGAGCTGAAACTTCTTGTCTTGCTTTCCAAAGCACCAGAAGGCAAGACAAGAAGTAAGGGTTGGAAATTAACCAAGGAGAGAAGCAAGCTAGAACTAAGGAGAGATTTCCTAATGGTGAGAACAATTAACCAGTGGAATGACTTGCCTTCAGAAATTGTGGGTGCCCCATCACTGGCCAGCCATTTATCTGAAATTGTATAAGATCTCTTGCTGGAGCAGGGGTTGGACTAGAATATCTCCAAGGTCTCTTCCAATTCTGTTATTCTGTTAAAAAGTTTAGGCGTTGTTTTAAAACCAAACACTGTTGATATCGGCTTATGACTCAAAATAATCATTCAATGAGTCATGCTTTTCCTTAACAGCAAATTTATGACAAAGAACTTAGTAATCCATTTTGCATATGCCATAGGCCCCTGATTTTCCTACTCATACTGTATATGCTAAGTTTAAAGCAAATTATATATTCTTTTATTTCTGAGTAGGTAAATCCATATCCATTACACTCACAAACCCCAAATTATCACTGAATTTTAATGAAGCCTGGACTGAATGCTTGCACACATGCCTATAAATTTAGCAATGGTAAAAGTACTTAAATGAATTATATTGGCAAAAATATCTCAGAGACTTTCCCTTCTTAATTGCTATATTCCTTAGTTGGCCTATGGGTCCTCACCAGTGATGAATGACATATCCCAAAAAGTTTTCCTTCACCAAATATTTCCAGACATCAACCAACAATATAAGGGGATCCTCCAAGTACTGCTTTATTTCCAGTGGATATGGATTGGAGTGATTTTCTATACCAATGTCAGTGGAGAAAAATTTGTAGAAAATCAGCTCCCCATGTTTGTCCAGGCAGGTATCTGCTTTAATTTTATAGAAACATTTCCACTAGTAAATTTTTCAACTGAAATCACTAAAATGGTTGCAGAAGGAGAAAAAACTACTAGGCTCATTATGGAAGCCACTACTAATGTAGTTGTTGTACATGGAGAAATTCAAACAATGGTGGTTTTAAGGGCAATGCTTCATATCTCTGAATTTGAAGAAATCCCAATGAAAACCAAAGTATGGATTTTCATAGCCCAGATGGATTTCACATCAATGTCTTTTCAACGAAGCTGGCCAATTGATTTCCTGCATGGTGCGCTCTCTTTTGCAGTCCACAGTGAGGAAGTGCTGGGATTCCATGAGTTCCTTCAATACAGGAAGCTGACATTGGAACAAGAAGATGGTTTTTCTAGGGATTTCTGGAAAGAGGCATTTCAGTGTTCTTTCTCCACTGTTGCTGGAGAACCAATGGAAGAAGATATCTGCACTGGAGAAGAGAACCTGGATCAACTTCCTGGGTCAATTTTTGAAATGAGCATGAGCAGCCACAGCTACAGCATCTATAATGCTGTCCATGTAGTGGCAGAAGCTTTACACAATAGGCACTCCTCTGCAATGAAAAAAGTAGCAAGACGAAATGAGCAGAGACAACAGTTTCTCAAACAACAACCTTGGCAGGTAGTTTCCTGAGATCAATAATATAGAAGAATCCCTGTAGACACAGTTTTCAATTCTTCAGACAATAGTGGAATGTTATTAGACCTTAGCATCTTTTATTTTACTTGTGATATATTTATTGCTACCCAATTGGATGGAAAGGAATCTTTACAGTGAAGAAAGGGAGAGGACAGATTAATAGAGAAAGTAATTTTTCAATCAATAACATTGGCAGCTAGTTTCCTGGGAGCAATAATAGGAGAATTCATGTAGACACAGTTTTGTTGCATCAGGCTATGATACTTGTGGTTCAGACTCTGACTTCACTGCAGAATTTTAGATATTCAGACAATAACTGTGCCATATCTTCCATCTCACACTTTATGCATAAGATTTCCTTAAGACAGGAAGGAAAGCTGTTTGGCCATTCCTAATAACTGGAACTAAGTTATCCTACTCTAAGTTATTCAACTTCATTTTTGTTATGCTTCTTTTTTAAAAGTTTTTTTTTTTAAAAAAACTTCATTTCCTGTTCAGGCAAAATAGATGAACTGGGAAGCCTTGCTCATCTTGCAAACTACTGAATACTGTTATATTAACTCTGCCCTAACCTTTAGATGGAGGAATGAGAATTAGATCTTATGGCCTTTTATTTTGCTTTTGTAATATATATTGCTACCTCACTGAGGGAAAAAGTGAAGATCAACTTGATTTGATTCAAATTAACTTTCTGTCATTATTAATTAACTTTAATTGCTCGTACTTGTAAAAAAAATATGCATTGTCCTAGAAAGAAAAAAAAATATTCTAGAGATTCTATTAGTATCTTTGTAGTCAGATTATGAAATTCCATTTGCTAAAATCAAGCAACCCAATGTAAAGTAATATCATACACTACAATACTGCAAACAAAACTAACATTACCTAAATCAACAGCAATTGAATCTCCCAAAAAAAAAAAAAAAAAAACTGGCTAAAATGAATTGAAATGGGCTTTTTAAAATATCTGGGATAAATTTGCATGCAATTTTTTTTTTACATAACAAATGCCTTTAAGATTCAGTCCCGGTTTATCTATTTATTTAATATTATGCTAAGGACAAGATTGATAATTTATTGCTGGAATTTTCATCTAGCTTCACCACTTCTTAAGAAGTGTTTCATTTAACAACAGTGTTGGAGAAATGCTTTCCTTTAGTTCCAAAGGGGAATTAATAGCAGGATTTGATATTATCAACTGGATCACATTTCCAAATCAGTCCTTTGTTAGAGTCAAAGTTGGGAAAATGGCACCACAGAATGCCCCTGGTAAAGCATTCACCATTTCTGAAGATGAGATCCAATGGGCTAAGGCGTTCAACCAGGTAGAGTTCATTCTGTTGTCTCAATCATTTTCCACCATGTATTTATGGATGTTATATGCTTCATTTCTTCCCATTCTTCCACTTAAAAAATTCCTTTTCATGTTCTTAATCAATATGTGGACTACACAATTTGCTTACAACATGCTGATGTTTGCCTATGTTTTTGTTGTTGAAGACTTTTTGCAAAGCAAAGGAGCAGAGTAGAAACCAGCAAATATTTGTTGGCATTTTTGTATTGACAGAACAGAATTAATAGCCAGATGCAACTGCCCTCCAAGTATGTCAAAATCTCCTTGTATGTATTAATTCCTCCTCTTCTTCCTCCTCCTCCTCTTCCTCCTCCTCCTCCTCCTTCCTCTTCCTCTTCCTTTTCTTCTTTCCATTCCACTATTTAAAAATTCCTTTTCATATTCTTAATTCAATTTGTGGATTTCACAATTTGCCTACAACATATTCATGTTGTAGAGAAAAAGGAACAGAATATAAGCCAACAAATATGTTTAGCAGTTTTGTATTGACAGAACAGAATTAATGGCAGGATGCAACTGTCCTCCAAGTCTCTCAAAATCACCTTAGGTTATATTATCGCATAATTCAGTGAAATGTAAACCAAAAGCAGTCCTTACTTTTGATTGTACCTAAGACTTTATTAAGATATTAATTTAAAGGGGACCAAAGTGTCACATTTCTAGGTATTTCTTTGATTCAAATGAATCTCTTCTGGGCAACCGTCTTGCTTCCTTAAGGATTTTTAAACAAATGTGACATTTGAATTTATTTCATTGTACAGCTCTTTTCAAGACCACCATCTAAAATCTCCCTGGGTATAACTTAGAGGTAGATATTTGTAAACATGTCTTAGTAGTAATTTCTTGTTTCCTGATAGAAACCTCCCATTTCTCTGTGTAATTCCCATTGCAATTCTGGATACAGTAGGAAAAGGATTGAAGGGAAACCATTTTGCTGCTACAATTGCCATCGATGCCCAGAAGGAAAGATTTCTTACCCAAAGGGTAAGATTTACTGTAGAAAAATGTATTAATGCCCTGCCTGTGAGCTTCATGTTATCCCCAAATTATTGAGGAGTCATTAAAAAGGTGTGATTTAAGACTCCATGCTTTGGAAGAATTATTGAAAAACAACTTATGGGTCTTATGTTCTTTTCACTTTTTCCATATTATTTTTTTTTCATACTGTTTAGGAATGGGGCAGGGTAAAAGACATAAAACCCTTCCACAAAATAATGTGATGACACAAAAATGGATACTTGCACTAGATGTCCCAAAGATGTTTTTTCCAACAGGACTTTCTTAGATATTTTTTTTTCCTTTTGAAAAAGTTTCTCTTTGCATCCTGAAGTTAGAATGGAAGAAGCTTCTTGACTGTGAAGTGATACATTTCAAAAGAAAAAACACCCAAGAAAGTCCAGTGGCCTCTTGAACAAAGAATTTTTAGGTCAACCATGACTTGGGTGATTGAGAATCTTCATGCACATACTTGCATCAGAGATTGGAAACAAAGACGTAAGATGTCTTTGACATCTTAAGAGTCAAACCTGAGGCATCTCTCAATAGGTGGTACCTGGCCAAGAATAGATCATGTGAAGTGTTAATACCACTTTATAATGCCTTGGTAAGACCATACTTGAAATATTGCATCCCCTTTTGGTCACCATGATATAAAAAAGATATTGAGACTCTAGAAAGACTGCAAAGAAGAACAACAAAGATGATTAGGCGACTGGAGGCTAAAGCATATGAAGAACAGTTGCAGGAATTGGATATGTTTAGTTTAATGGAAAGAAAGATTAAGGGTGACATGACCAGCCTATTCTCCAAAGCATCTGAAGGCAGGACAAGAAGCAATGGATGGAAACTGGTCAAGGAGAGAAGCAACCTTGAACGAACTATTAGACAGTTAGAACAATTAATCAATGGAACAGTTTGCATCCAGAAGATGCAATATGCCCTATCAGGCAGAGGTGCCAATATGAGAGACCCCTTGGGTTGGCAGCCAGCCAAAGAGGAGGCCAGGAGATCCTGGACTTCAGCGGTCCCTTCGTGGGTGGCACTACATTTGTTAGGTCACACTTTGAGTCAAGTGCATATTGTTATTATTCTAAGTAAGGGACACCTGTACTTTCTATACACCTTGGCAGTTAAACCCAGCAATATTTGCAGTACAAAACAAAAATATTAGGTAAAGTACTATGAAATGTTTAAGATAGATTGCCTGTATCTTTTTAGAATGAGATGAAAAAAATGAAACAAAATCAAAGTTTTTAGGTGCTTGATTGAAAAGCAGAAAGAACTTCAGCGTTTAGTGACATCCCAAACAGGATTATCTATTCAGGTTTCTCTAAAGGTGAACTTATGATGTGTGTTATTGCTCTTTATTTTCTCTTTCTTTTCACACCGGAAACTTATGTAATAAAGTTAGTATACGCTTCTTATACATACAGTTCTAGTGCATTCAATAATACATTTGCTTATTTCAATAGACTTGGATGATTGTTTTCAGTGTCCAGAAGATCAGTATCCCAACAAAGACCAGAATCTGTGCCTTCCAAAGAATATCAGCTTCCTTTCATTCGAAGAACCTTTAGGAATCGCACTCACTGTTCTTGCCCTTTTCTTTTCTTTTCTCACAGCTTTGGTGCTTCAACTCTTCATTAAGCACCAGGAGACTCCCATTGTCAAAGCAAACAATCAGAACCTCAGCTATATTCTCCTCATTTCCCTCTTATTTTCTTTCATTTGCACTTTGCTTTTTATTGGACAGCCCACAAAGCTTATGTGTCTCCTTCGACAAACAGCTTTTGGCATTATCTTCTCAATAGCCATTTCTTGTGTTTTGGCCAAGACTATTGTTGTGGTCCTTGCCTTCATGGCAACCACACCAGGAAGTGGAATGAGAAAATGGTCTGGCAAATACTTGGCCAACTCCATTGTTCTTTCCTGCTCTTTTAGTCAAGCCTTGATTTATAGTGTGTGGTTGGTCACTGCTGCCCCTTTTCCTGATGTTGACATGCACTCCCTGATAAAAGAAATTATTTTGAAGTGTAATGAAGGATCTGTTACCATGTTTTACATTGTCCTGGGCTTTTTGGGCTTCCTGGCTACCTTCAGCTTCTCAGTGGCCTTCCTGGCTAGGAACTTGCCTGACTCTTTCAATGAAGCCAAGTTTATCACCTTCAGCATGTTGGTCTTCTGCACAGTCTGGGTGTCCTTTGTTCCAACGTATTTAAGCACAAAAGGCAAGTACATGGTGGCCATGGAGATTTTTTCCATCTTGGCCTCCAGTGCTGGTTTATTGGTCTGCATCTTTTCCCCCAAAGTGTATATTCTTCTGCTGAGACCTGAGCTGAACTGTAGGAAGCACTTAAGGAGAAAATAACAGTAAAAATTATCTTAGACTCCTATCCCAGATGAGTCTACCATCTTCTTAGAACCTGAAGCAAACATTGTTCTGGGTGCTATCAGGACAAAAACTAGAGGTATTATCAGGAGAAACTCATTTGATGTCTTTGTGGCTTTGAAATGTGTGGTTGTTATAGACACTGTTTTTGTCAATCATGGTTGTTGCAAGATTCCATTAAAATATTTTAAATCAAAAAGAGTGGTGAGATTGGATTGAATTTTAAATTATTATAATAAAGGACTTGAAATGAGGATTTTGTGTATTGTTATAGCGTTCAAAAATTGAAATGTAATCTACTCCCAATATTTTTTCTGATTTTATCTTCAGAGATTGATGGGCGCAATGTATAAAGTCAGTTCTCAGTTTGAATTTTTGGATATGTCCCTAGCCCTAATAGTCTCTGACATTTTCACGTTGGAATACAGATCTCCTCTGTTAAAATTGTAGTAACATTACAAACAAAAAATAATGGAAAAATAGTTCATATCACAGCAAAATCTATTAAACATAATTATAATTAGCTGAACACAAATGAAACATTACATCAGAATTACAATATATTATTTTATCTACAAACAGAATTAAAAATGAAGAAATTGAAAGGGCTTATATTTAAGTAAGTAGTTCTGGATTATAACTTTAAATGCTACAGTTATCTCACATATAGCATTCCTTTCTTAATAAACATTTGTAATTTCAAGATTGTTTTGCTAAAAGTAAAGGTCCAAAAAGAGATAGCAAGTAATGGAATGTAATTGTAAATTCCCTTTAGCAAAGTTACCAAAGAAACTGAAACAAAAAAATAAGGTAAAATAAAACCCTAACTCCATTAAAAGCATCAAAAGCCATCTTTCTATTTGGAAGGGCATATGTTGGTTTACAAAAGAAGTTTACTTTTTTTCAAAACTGAGGAGGGGGGGTAAATTTTTAAAGAGCTAGAAGCAGTTAGAAAAACACATTTTGTATTCCTAGACCTAAAGCAGTACTTGTCTTATACTGGTAACAGGTCTGTTAGAAATTGCTAATCTGCCCTCAGACCATTTCAAGGCCAACTCCATTGTAAGGTCCAGCAATTTCCTTATTATGTCCAGCAACTTTAAGGAATTGGACTTATAGTGATGCTATAAGTCCAACTCCTTGGAGAACCAAGAAGAAGCCTATCAGATTACTCTTCGGGGAAATCACTAAATAGGCTCTACTCTGGTGGCAGGCATTTGTAAACAGCCTGACCTCAAAGAAGTTTGTCTTAGGGATGAGGAAAACAGTTGAGAGTTTTTTCTGACAAAGGGAAGTGGCTTTGGAATTCAGTGTTTTTGAGCTCTGGATTTGATCATTGAATGGACTTTGAAAAATCATTAATATAAACAATAATAAAAACAAATCATGTATTCCCAATTTCAAGGGAAAATACCATGGTATCAGTTATGGAGGTAGTGCAAATAGAATAGAATAGAATAGAATAGAATAGAATAGAATAGAATAGAATAGAATAGAATAGAAGTGACCTTGGAGGTCTTCTAGTCCAGACCCCTGCTCATGGAGGAGAACCTGTTCCATCTCAGACAAGTGACTGCCCAGCCTCTTCTTAAAAATCTTCAGTGATGGAGCACCCACAATTTCTGCAGGCAAGCTGTTCTACTGGTTAACTGTCCTCAAAGTCAGGAAGTTTCTCCTTAATTCCAGGTTGCTTCTCTCTCTGATCAGTTTCCAACCATCGTTTCTTCTCCTTCTGTCTGGTGCTTTGGAGACTAATGTGACTCCCCTCTTCTTTGTGGCAGCCCTTCATATACTGGAATACTGCTATCATGTTTCCCCTATTCTTTCTTTTCTTTAGACTAGCCAAACCCAAGTCCTGCAGTCATTCTTCATACAGGCCCATTGTTCAACTTTGTTAAGATCTTTTTGGATCCTGAGTTTGTCTTCTGGGGTGTTGGCTACTCCTGACAGTTTAGTGTTGTCTGCAAATTTGATGAGTTCCCCTTCAATTCCCTCATCTAAGTCATTTATGTAGACATAAATGTTTACATATGTAGACATTTTCAAATCAGTCCTTTTTTAGAGTGAAAATTGGAAGAACAGAATCACAGCATTTTCTTGGCAAAATATTCATCATTTCTGAGGATGCTATTCAGTGGCCAAGAAACTTTACTGAGGTACAGTTCATAGAAACCTTTCCATTTAGAGCTTTAAGAATAATTGCTTCAGAATTTAAAATTCACAGTTTTGGTAATTCATTATCATTGGTGAAATTTAACAACACAATAGTAATGCAATCATTTTTTCCTCCAAATCTGGATATTCTAAACCTTTTTTTTCCATTTTCCTATAAATTACCAATATTTACTTTCAACTTGTGTTTTTTATTTTGTGTAAAACAGGATTCATGATTCTACTTTAAAATAATTATCTGCTAAATATACAAGAATTTTAGGTATCTCTGAAGAATCCAAGCCATACCGACTGTCAACTGAATTTATGTAAAGTTATCTGATGATTTATGCATCATATTTGAAATTCAACCTTTAGAGGTTCTTAAAAACCACCAACACATCAACTGTTTGGAAATGTTAATCCATCTTCTAATGCAGGAGTTTCAAAAGTGAGCACCAGGGAAATTAAAATTATAAAAAGTTTAATTAAAAAATGCCAAGCTTTCGCCGGCTCCTGCGAGCATTATCAGGGCTTAAAGTGCTAGGAAGTGAGGAAGTTCCTTTATAGGTCAACTAAGGTCTGCGCCCAGCTCCTCAATCTCGTCACTGGATCTCATTGAGTAAATTGTGCTCCGTGATCGTTCTCTTCTTGCACCTCTTGTCCATGTTTATGGTATCACTTATCTTTCCTTTGTTGGGTTCTGGGTTGGGTGGAGTACCCTCCCTATCCCCTTTGATGTTCCTTTCTTTTTCTTGCCCAGACCATCTGGGTGGTCTATATTCGCTCCTTCTCTTCCCCCCCAATCCACATTTACATAGTTATCGTCTCTATGGGTGCTGTTTCTTTCTCTAATGTCCCCCACTCGTCTGTTGTTATTCCTGAGATAATCCTGTGTACTATTCTGATCTATCTGGGTCATTATTGTGAAGTGGGGTGGCCCGGTAATCAGTTCGTCAGTGTCATGAGTTCCGCGAGTGCACCCCTGCTTGATCGTTACTCCTCTCCCCATCCCCCTCCTGCTGTCTTCCGTGTCTTTCCTCCACACGCTGCCATCTGGGCGGGGAGAGGGGGGACTCCGGTCTCCCCAGGCACCATCACACTCGTCCTCCACTCCCCTCTCCCCTCCAATGCCTCCTGTATGTGTGTGATCACACTGCGGTCCACTTGGGTCCATTAAAGTTCGTATTACAGGATGCAGCGGGTCGATCGTCGAGTCACTGCAAATACGATCCCCCCATGCATCATTTCATCGGAGTTCACCCCTCCCCTCCTCCCCCGGACTCCCCATCCATGCGTCGCTGCTCTCAAAGCTGTTCCACACTCCGCATAATTCTGGTTGGATCAGCATCACCGAGTGGGGGGGCTGTCTCATCATCTCCAGGCCGATCACTTTCCCTCTCCTAGGGTGCAGGTGGGTGACCGCTATTCCGGGCTGTCTCCTCATTTCTTCGTCTGCAGTACTTCCCTGTATTCTGGTCGGGGTGTCTCGGGTGTTCTCAATATGAAAATTCCGGGCTTCGATTTTTGCTGCCTCTCTGATCTTTTGGAGGTGCATACGTGCCACGGGGATGGTGGGGGTCTTTAAATGTTGTTCCTTCCCCATTGAGTTATTTATATCCTGTTGGGGAGTTGACACCTCCTCCTTGATCTCCCTTGTTGGTATGTTAAATGTGCCATTAGGTTGTCCGCAATGGGGTGGGCGATTATCCATACTCCATGATCTTAACGCTAGGTGCGCTGGGTAGAGGTCAATGTGTCGGTTAATCAAGTCCCTGTTGGAGAGCCACGCTTCTTTGAGTAAGCAGCCTCCCTTCGTATTGTCACTGGCTAAGGCGCATACTTCATTGAAGTTAACACGGTGGCTGGATTCCGCCATATGTACCATACCTGGGATCGCTGCTCGCCCCTTTTTACTGCCAATTTATGTTTGTGGACCCTGGTCTTTACTCGTTTAGAAGTCTCCCCAACATAGTTGCATGGGCAGTCCATACAGTCAATCCTGTATACGACTGCTGATCGCTCCATGCTGGGGAGTGGGTCCTTGGGGCGCATAATGGCAACGTGTAGCATTTGATTGGGTTTATGTACTACTTTTACATTATATGGCGCTAGTAATCTTGCCGTTGCCTCTGAGACATTGCAGATATAGGGGAGGGTAACTCGTGTCGTCTGAGATATTGACTCATCGGTTAGTTTGTTTCTCTGGGATTCAGATGGTTGTTGTTGTTAATTGCGAAGTCGTGTGCGACCCATTGCGACCCCATGGACAACATTCCTCCAGGTCTTCCTGTCCTCTACCATCTTCTGGAGTCCATTTAAGTTCACACCTACTGCTTCAGTGACTCCATCCAGCCATCTCATTCTCTGTCGTCCCCTTCTTCTATTGCCCTCAATCTTTCCCAGCATTAGGCCCTTCTCCAGTGAGTCCTTCCTTCTCATTAGGTGGCCAAAGTATTTGAGTTTCAACTTCAGGATCTGGCCTTCTAAAGAGCAGTCGGGGTTGATCTCTTCTAGGACTGAGCAGTTTGAATGGCTTGCAGTCCAAGGGACTCGCAGGACTCTTCTCCAGCACCATAGTTCAAAGGCCTCAATTCTTTGTCGCTCAGCCTTTCTTATGGTCCAACTTTCACAGCCATACATTGCAACTGGGAAAACCATGGCATGGACTATACACACTTTTGTTGGCAGAGAGATGTCTTTGCTTTTTAGTATGCTGTCTAGATTTGCCATAGCTTTCCTCCCCAGGAGCAAGCGTCTTTTAATTTCTTGGCTGCAGTCCCCATCTGAGGTGATCTTGGAGCCCAGAAAAATAAAATCTGTCACTA